CATGAAGTTATGAAAAAATAAGACTTAAAAACACTTAGAAAAATTTCTAAGTCTTGAAAACTTTGACTTTTCAAAATGACTTTTGACTTTCTTGATTTCTTGATGATAAAGTTTCATATTTTTGAATGTCTTGATGAAATGTTATCTTTGAAACTCAATTTTGATCAAAAAGTCAAAGTTTTGACTTTTGATGTATTAGTTGACTTTTCATCAATTGACCGAATTTCAACTATCAATCAATTGATCTTGAGAAATGTTTTGAGCCATGAAATTAGGTCAACATGTTGTATTTTAATCCTTGAGTTTTTGATTCAAGCCATTAGATCATGTATTAGGTCAAAAACCCTTGATCAGTAAAATATAATAAAAACCCTAATTTTGACCATTTTGCCCTTTTGATGATTTAAATATTTTTCATGGGGTATTGTGATCCAAACCTGATCAATTGATACATATAACTTCAAAATGTTGATATTGGTCAAAATTCTTGAAGTTTGACTGTAGGTTGAGCATAATTGACTTTTTATCCAATACAACCGATTTTGGGTCATCTGATCAATTGACTGAGCAATTTTGAGATGCAAGACTTGAAACTTGATATGAGCATTCTTGAAGGTCCATAATGATCCATGAAAGTCAATTTAAGCACTAGAAGTCCAATTGTCCTTGTGAAAATCCAAACCTTAATTTGAGGCATCGGTGTTGAGGAGATGGCTTGACCTAGTCAATACTTGTGTAAGCATGAAACATTGAAGATCTTCGTGAGAAATATCTTGAGAAAAGAGAGGGCAAATTTTGGGGTACAACAAGGTGTCACATTTGCTCCAAACAAACTTCATAATAAAACACATCATGCTCCATAACACGAGTTTTCAAAAATTAAGACATTGGGTACTTCATGCTTAACAACCATAGTTTTTCATCTTACTCGCAACAGAAATTCATAATTTAAAACATCTTTATTAAGATACTTCTAAATAACTTCATAATATCAAAACAACTCAAATACCACAAGGGTAGTTCATATCTCAAATTAAATAAAGTAACATGGTTATTCAAAATAAACGGTCTCATCCCAATGTTACATATCAGAGCAAGACCCCTTTATTCTACAGGAAATAAAGAATATAATACGCAACTATCCTCTAAGCCTCAGCAGACTATTCTTGATTACCTGTAAGTTACCCATGTATAGAGGCAACATTTCCAAACAGCAAGGGTAAGTAAATCATAATCATTATAAAAGACATAAGGAGTAAATATAGTAGTTATAATACAACACAAAGGAAAACACCACATCATAGAAGCCTTATGTCATACTCATACCTTAAAGCATCATAATACCCATCAGGTACATGTTAGTACCATCAATTATCAATTATCACAAACACGCATTCATAAAACATCACTCAATAAAATCATCATGCAGTGCCACATATAATGCAATATAACTTCTTTAGATTCATGCAAGTGGTACCAAAACTTCACTGATGACACCGTCATCGCTTCTCCAAAGACCCTCACCAATATGATCAATTTCCGATTAGAACCAGAACACATCACAAATTGCACTTAATCTACACTATAAGATTAAGGCCATCACTGGACTATTCGTCCTACAAAATTCACTGGAACAACATCCTGCAATCATCATTTGGTTATGCCCTAACATATGCTAAGAATGCATCATACGAAACATCTTAATCATCACATGACTACTGCTAGTCAAAATGCATCATCATTCACATAATCATTATAAATATCACACATATTTCATAACGCGAAACAACATCATCATAGCCTCAATAATTCATTGTATACACATACATCATACTAAAACAATCATTGAATCATCTTATTCATCAAAGTATAGGTACTGGAAAAAACCTCATAAGACTCTTTTTATTCCACCAAAGTACAATTCATCGCGTTAGCTTCCTAACACTTCGAACGACGCGTCAATTGGAGTCCTGAAACTCAAGTTACACCACTTTTAAAAATACTGCTGTTATCCATCGTCTGGTACTCGCCCGACGAAGCATGATGCTTGCCTAGCGATGAGGGAGCGATAGCTTCTTCCTTATACAAAACTCCAGGGGCTCTATTCTTTCTGGTCACCATCGCCCGACGTAGCATGTTGCTCGCCCGACGATACATCTCTCGCCTCAGCCCCGCCCAACGACGCTCGAGCGAGGGACCACCCTTCATATAAAAGTCAAGGGTCATGTTTTTCCTCACTCCCTTCACCTCTTCCTCGTCTGGCGCTGCTTGGGCGAAGCTTGCTCGCCCGACTACGCACATGGCTCGCCCGTCGATGCAGCGCGAACATGACTTCCCTGTTACAATCTCTGCACTGCAAAATCCTAATTTCTACGCGATCTTTTCACAGTAGGTCTCAATTCATCATAGATTCACTTAGTTTCATTATATAACAATAACACATCATAATATACATCACATGCATCAATTTTTTTGCAAGAAAACATCATAATTTCACCAATTTTCATCAAAGCATCATATTAACATCATTATCCCAAAACCCCAACACAAACCTACAATTATCTAAACTTTAGAACAATTATAATAACAACGATAAATCCCCTTACCTTAGATTTCTCCTTCGCGTTCTATCAAATCCCTCTGAGTCCTTTCGTGCCCTAACTCTCTTCACAACATTATTCTCTTTTCAGGATTGCACATAATGAACACTAACACTCTTTTTTCTCTATTTAACCTTTGGACCCTTTCTATAGTTTTCCCATCTTACCCTCACTTTTCCATTCACAATTTACCACTTTGCCCTCATAACTTCTACCTCTTATTATTATTCTATTTAATTAATTAAAATAATTTCAATTAATTATTCTAATTATCTAAATTATTCTAAAATACTCTATACCTCCTTAATTTTTACCACCCTATCATACACCATACAAAATATCATATCAAGCATAATGATCATCCATACATCACATAAACATCATAATTAAGTCACAAATGCCCAACATAAATTAATCAAATAATTAAATAAATAATCTAATTATTTTGGGGTGTTAAGCATTTGCATAATCGTAGAACTTTTGAACAAATATAAGTTGAAAATGAAATAAAACTAAGGGAATCAATATAAGAATGATCAAAATTAAGATCTAGAAAAGAGTGATAGCAAGTAGATCAGACCAGAATAAAAAATAATAAATCGAGCATTATCGTAAAAAGTAGCAGAATTGAAATATATTGCAAGGCGTATAACTCAACGACGATGAAATCGTGCTTGCTGATAGTGTCATGGAAATTTGTTTTAGCCAATGTGAAGATGGATTCGTTGGACTCTGGTTCATCAACGGAGATTTGAGAAGGAAGCAACATAAGAAGAGAGAACAAAAAATCGAAAATCGAAATGATGCGCTTTGATACCGACATCTGAACTTGTTTGTTACTCCTTTTAATATCATCAATGACAAAAGAGAACCTGGAAGAAGTTTCAAGTTCTTTTGATGTGCATAAACTTGTCCAAATAGATGAAAATGGTTTTGGTCAAAAACTCAAAACACTAAACCATGATTATAAATATATGGAACCTGTAAATAGTTGTGCAAAATGTTGGAAGAGGAAAATGAAGATCATAGAGGTAGAGGAAGAGGAAGATAAGAAATAGAAAATGTTGTTGATAAAGAAAATGAAGATTGAAGAGAAAAAAAAAAGTAAGAATTGATTTTTAAATTGAGAATAATGTATTAGGTGTATCGGAGAATACAAAAATGTACCAAAATAAAAATGATCCGACAAGACATTGATAAAAGAGAAAAGGTGAAAAATTTAAATTGAATCGATTGATTTAGAACCAAAGAGAATGACATCTGATTCAAAACATGATTAAAGTTAAAGAATACAAAATTTAACAACTAAATTAATTGAAATTGCTAGTTTGATTTAAAAAGTAAATTTTTGGACCAAATTTACCCTTAAAATAGAAATGTGACATATTTAGAGTGAAGGACAAATATAAAATTTCTAGAGGATATAATTTTGTTATTATTATAGATTTACCTCTTCATTCAAAATAGTCAATTTCAAGAAATAAAAAATATATATTTGTAATTTTTCTTTATCAGCCATCAAGTAATCAACGGTGTCCATTCAATTCAAGCATGCATCCCCTTTGGAACCTTCCGAGAGCTACCAACTATTGGACGGTGATGCTCGCATCTATGAATCCAACGTGTATGAATCATAAAACGCCACGTGGAAAGTGTACCCCACTAAAACACTGAAGTCGCATATATAAAGAGGCGAATTTTGCTCCGTTCAAAGCACGCACGCCTCCACACAAACCTCCCTTCCTGTTTCTCTCTCGTTCTCTCATCCTTTCGCTAAAACCCTACGTGAAAGGTATACTTCATCACTTCATCATTTTTCAGATCTCAGTTCAATTTTGTTCAGTTTTTTGTTGCATGGATTATACTGTTGATTTGATTCTTTGTAATTATTATTTCGATTATGATTTTTTACTGTTCTTGAAAGTTCGATTTATAGTTTTTTTAGTTGTGTTGATTTTGCTGGTAAGAGTTACATTGATCTTACTTGTTAAACCTTCGGATGTAATAGATCTGTGAAATTCTGTTATTGTTTTTTCGGATCTGATCTGAAATTGAATTTTTATTTTGGTTTTAAGAAATAGATGGATCTATTTTTATTTTTATTTTTATGAATAATTGGATCTGTTTTTTTTTTTTTTTTTTTTTTTTTTTTTTTAATTTGTAATGGCTGGTAATGAATCTGTATAGTGTTGGTTAGATCTCACTTGTCAGAGATATGTTGTATTTGAGATTGAGTTTGCATGGCTTTACTGCTTAGTATCTGGTGGTGTAATTTGTTTTACATTTTATTTATTTATTTGGATTTTGTGAATTTTTCTAATTCTATGTTATATTATTTTTTACTAGTATTTATGAAACCTTGTTTGATATTTGTTGACTATATTTTTCAGGAAAGTCACCATGGTTGATCAACACCCTACAATCATGGAGAAGGTTACTGGCCAGGTTCACCGTAGATCTGGTGTTTCATCTGGTTATGGTGGAAGCTTCCGTCAACCTGCAATGTTCCAAAAATACTCCTACGGGAATTACTCAAATGCTGCTTTGGCGCCTGCATGCAGAACTACTGTTGATCTATCTGCAGTTGCAACTAATGCTTCTCCTATGTTTGTTGCTGCTCCAGCAGAGAAGAGCCATTTTCTTATTGATTTTCTCATGGGTGGTGTCTCAGCTGCAGTTTCCAAAACTGCTGCTGCTCCCATTGAGCGTGTTAAGCTTTTGATTCAAAACCAGGATGAGATGATCAAGACTGGAAGGCTTTCTGAGCCGTACAAGGGTATTGGTGACTGTTTCAAAAGAACAACTGCTGAGGAGGGTATGGTTGCTCTATGGAGAGGAAACACCGCTAATGTTATTCGTTATTTCCCCACTCAGGTAACTGGTTTGTTATTACTTAACTTTCAACTGATTTGCTTATTGATGTGTTGATTGTTGATACATATGCTATTTAAATTATACTAGGCATTGAACTTTGCATTCAAAGATTACTTCAAGAGGCTTTTCAACTTCAAGAAGGACAGAGATGGTTACTGGAAGTGGTTTGCTGGTAACTTGGCATCTGGAGGTGCTGCTGGTGCTTCATCCCTCTTGTTTGTCTACTCATTGGACTATGCCCGTACCCGTCTTGCTAATGATGCTAAGGCAGCTAAGAAGGGTGGAGAAAGACAATTCAACGGTCTTGTCGATGTCTACAAGAAGACCCTTGCAACCGATGGAGTTGCTGGACTTTACCGTGGTTTCAACATCTCTTGTGTTGGAATCATTGTGTACCGTGGTCTCTACTTCGGAATGTACGATTCTCTCAAACCAGTTCTTCTCACTGGAAAATTGCAGGTTACTTTTTGCCCTCTTTTTCCCTCTTTTTTATTTGGCATCTGATGTCTTTGCACAACTACCAGATTAGTTGGTTTTTCATTTAATCATTTGTTGATAGCTTTTTAAAATGCTGTTTGACATTACAGGATAGCTTCTTCGCCAGTTTTGGTCTTGGATGGCTCATCACCAATGGTGCAGGTCTAGCATCATACCCAATCGACACAGTTAGGAGAAGAATGATGATGACATCAGGAGAAGCTGTCAAGTACAAGAGCTCCTTGGATGCGTTCCAACAAATCCTCAAGAACGAGGGATTCAAGTCATTGTTCAAGGGAGCTGGTGCTAACATCCTCCGAGCTGTGGCTGGTGCTGGAGTGCTTGCTGGTTATGACAAGTTGCAGGTTATTGTTTTCGGCAAGAAATATGGATCTGGTGGTGCTTAATTTATTTAGTCTCTTCAGTCAAATTTATTGTTTTTAGATGGCGATGAAAATCATTTATGTTCCGAGAGTTTAGACTAATTGCTGCAGCAAATTTTGTTTAATAAATTTACTCGGTGGGATGCTATATCCCAAACTCTTTTAAATTTTGGTTGGAAAGTTGAAATTGAAAGTTGATTTATTGGAGTGGCAGGTTAAGTGACTGTCACTTGAAATTTCTGTTTTTTAAGATTTTGAGATATATGTTATACTCTGTTGTTCCATTTCAAGAATAAAATCCCTAGTGTATTTTCATATGGTTATTCTTATTAGTAAAAAAATCTGAATCTGATGTCCAAATTGATCTTTATTCTGTCACTACAATATTGGTATGATAAGGTGTCTGGTTTTATTCTTAATTCCAGGAGAGGTGTTGGTTATTCCGAATTTTATTTGTTATCTTTAGTAGTTAATTATATCTGTGGTTCATGCATCATTCATTGTTGTAATTTTCGTCAGAATGCTTTTGGTATGTAATAAGAAATTTTCGAAAACCAGTTGAATAAGTGGAACAAAATTTGTAATCTGAGAGATGTGTCATTGGTGTGGAACATTTTGGGAGGTTCTTAAAGCTAGATTTATGTATTCAATCGATTTAGGAAAGTTACATGATTTTTGTTGGGTATGGATGCCGGTTGATTTGTAGACAATACTTGATCTTTTGAGTCAATAGATTCTGATTCTTATTTACAAATTACTACAAGTGAAACCAAAGTCAACCTGAAATTGGTTATCGAGTTAGGAAGGAGAGTTCTTTTGATTGGTTTCTCCTTGATAAGAGTATAATATCCATTGATGTAGGAGACCAAATTCAATTACGCAGTTGGAGTTGTATTCAATATAGATTATGTACTAGTTTCTTAAAAATGAAGCATGTTCAAGTTTAACTTGAAAAAGTTGACATTGCTTGATTGTTGTTGCCAGCGTTTGTGTATCATCTAGGTTTGAACTTCAGATTTGGACGCCAGTCATTAGAGTTCGAATTCTGAATCTCTAGTTGACATGTGCTCTTCATTGTAAAATCGAGTTCCTTAGAGTTCGAACTCTGAATCTCTAGTTGACATGTGCTCTTCATTGTAATATCGAGTTCCTCTGTTGAAAATAGACTTGACGATACATAGTTTGCAAGCATAAGTTGAGAGGCGAAATGCTTTGTTGAGAATGGTCAAGAGGTCTGACATTTATACAATTCCACAAACACGAGTCATGTACGGGTGAAATGTTTTCTAGAGACCAACATTATCGTAAGTGCCAATCTTAAACTACTTGCAATGATTATCTAATGCTTCAGTAAACATTGACATTTATACAATTCCACAAACACGAGTCATGTACGGTGAAATATTTTCTAGAGACCAACATTATCGTAAGTGACAATCTTAAACTACTTGCAATGATTATCTAATGCTTCAGTAAACATTGAATCATTATGAGTTATTCTCATTCTTTGAATTCTTAGGAGAGTAGTTTATGATGTTGCCATTTCTCTGCATGTCACTTCCCTGTTTTTAAGTAGACTAGAGATATCACTTCAGTTCACACTTTCCTCATTCTATCCCTGCCTACTTTGCTTTGCACTTATTTCCATTCTTGTATTATCCTGCACTTTCTTCATCAGCTTGCAAACTCAAGTAACCCCTAATTCCCTTTGTGATTTTGTTTTCTTTTCTCCACTCCTTTCGACTCACGATTTTTATTAGGGAGTGTGACTCACTTGGGAGGACAATATAATCCTGAAACGATTCTGAGACGTGTGCAATATGGAATCAATGTTTAAGGAATTCAAAACGGGGTATGATCAAGGTAGATTTGAAGTTTGTTGAGCGACAATGGCTTAATGTCTCTTCTTAAGTATGACTAGATCTATCATGACACTCTCAACTTTCAACCATAATCCCTTTTGTGAATAGGCCATAAATATTGATTCATATGTATTGAAGATGATTGTATGCACAACTATTAATTAGGTTTGAAATTGTGTAACACTGAAAACGAGTCCAATATGATTTTTGAGCCGAGTGTGGAAGATAAAGGGTTTACATGCCTCAACTTCGGGGGGGGGGGGGGGGGGGGGATGATGAGTTGTAGATGATGAGTATTCCTACTACTATGCCAAAGTTGTGGGGGTGGGTGGGGGGATGATGAGTTGTAGATGACGAGTATTCCTACTACTATGCCAAAGTTATTATTGGCTTTAAGGTTGACATTCCTTTTACAATTTTTCAGATCAACATTCTAAGGATCGCCAACGTTTCCCCTCCCCAGCTGCATCTAAACAGTCAAGTCTTTGTTTGAGGATTTGAGACTCTCTAATGAGGCCTTTGATATTGTTTACAGTGATTTCTGGTAAACAACCGCTAGTCCTCCAAACTATCGAATAATCTTACTGACTGTTATTCAATCTCTCTGGTAACTCGCAGGATCGACTAGATTGATCCTAGGATGTATTGGTCATTAGGGTAACTCTCATTATAGAACTGGTATTCATGGTTGGTATTTAGAATGTTATGTGGGTGTTTGACTTATTTCGATTACTCTATTAAAGATCTAAAGGCGTGATCAAGTAAATATGCGCGAAACTAAATTGCATGATTAAAGTTCAATTGTAAAAGACATGTAAAACTGCATAAAAGACAAGTAAATGACTTCGAAGCATAAAAACATGTAGTGTAAAAGATTCTCTGGAATATAAAAGATTCAAAATGTGAAGAAAGTGTTTAAATGCAAGAAAACAGTAAAATGACTTTAAGTGAAAAAAGGTGTTCGAATGATAAAAGCTTGAAGATAAAGACATGAAATGTACAACAGTTTCTGAAATGTAAAGTATTTGAAATGGAAGGAAAGCATTCAAATGTAAGGCATCAGTAAAAAGACTTCGAATGAAAACATTTTAATGCAAAAGCTTTTGGATGGTATTGACATGAAGATAAAGGAAAATACTGGAAATGATAAAGAGTTTTTATTAAATCATAAACACTTGGTGTTATCATACGTACATTGCTCGTGCATTCGTTTCCCTAGCCATGTGGTATTTTGAATGTTTACTGAGTTTTTTGTACAATAGATATGACACACGAAATCCTAATGCTAAGACTTCTATTTATACTACTTCGATCATAACGGTCTTGCTATAAGATTCTGCCACGTTCAGAACATGCAGAGCAATGCCTCTCCCTAGCTTCCACGCGTCTTCGAATGCTCCAGCGCATATATTTCAAATTTCAAACATCCCGCTTGCATTTGAGTTTCAAATATTTTAGCATTTCTTCGCTTCGAACGCATTGCTTGGACACAGCCTTGTTAACATTTCGAGACTTCTTTGAATATATCCTCATAACTGTCACTCGAAGCTCCAAGCTTTGATATGCCCATTCGAAGCACTGCTTCTACCATTTCGAACATGACATCTTGCTTTATTCCAATCGAAACGTCCAATTTGCTTCGCTTCTAATAATATCATCAAAATCTCCAGCCAACAAAATGCCCCTTTAAAATATGTATTTCAATTCCTTTGAGAAATACTTATTTTAAACATATACACAAGATTTTGATGCGACCTTCGAATCATCGTAACATTTATTGCATATGACTCCAGTCACGTCAATCACAACGTTTTTCAGATTCCTTAACCGCCTTGAACCATTTCACAGCATGGTGCAGTTACAAAATAATGATTCTTTAATCATGCCTATTACCAATATTAACTTTACGCCACCTCCTTCTCAAACCAACCCACGACTACCACGTATCACAATCTTACTCAGTGGATGTTTAAACTTCCCCACTATAAAAACCCATCAACTTTAGTCTTTTCTTTTCTTCCCACATTCTGAATCTTTTCTTCCTCTTTTCTCATCGAAACCCTAAACTTCCAACATTCTTCAACAATGTCTTCTTCAACTTCATCTCAACTGAAAAAGGCTTCAAAAAAGAAAGGAAAGACCACAAGAACCATAATGGAAAGCAAGGTTGGCACCTACCAAGGTCAATCTGTTCTTGTTCCCCAGATGATCTCAAAAGAGAAGGAAATGCTTTATACATTCCATGTACTAATTCCTACTAACGCCGCTGGCAAGAGGTTAGCTTTAATGGGCCCTCTTACAGTCTTTGAAATCTTAAAAGACACTAGAAAAATTTTCCCTGTTTGTTATAATTTCAAACCTCTGTTTAATAAAATGGATACCCCTAAGACAATAGAGTCTTCTGATTCAACCACCGTGGAAAATCCAATCATTTCCCCTAAGGACCCTTTTGTGCTAGATTATGTAAAGAGTAACTTCAAACCATTTCGATCTTGTCCCACCTCCGACACAGCTTATCACAACTGGTTTAATAAAGTAGAAGCTAAGAAATCCCAGCAATGGGAAGAATTAGGCATTTACAACTTGATTAAACTATCGAAACCAGGTTTTACTTATAGCCACCCATTGTTATTCGCGTCCCTATATTTCTGGGACAGTACTTACAATACTTTCCATCTCCCTGGTGGAATGATTACACCCACCTTTTTGACATAGCAGCCATTACTGGGTTATCACCAATAGGAGAAACCTATATTCCTGACAATGAAGAGCATTCGAGTATTATTGACTTCGAAGTCAAGCTAGCTAGCTTTTCAAAGTTTATCAGCCACTATCACACTGAAGGAGACAGTGTGTCAGATGTGGAACACATTTCTTTCCTTACCTTATGGTTGTCAAGGTATGTCTTTTGCAGCAGATCCCTACAGGTAGCCAGTAGGTTTATTCCTCTAGCTAGAGATTTGCATGAGAATCAGAGGGTGTGTCTAAGCAAACTGCTATTAGTTGATCTTTACGAAAGTCTAAGGTCAGTTGTTTCGAGTCTGAAATCCCACACCTCCAAGAACATCCTGCTAGCTGGCCCTTTCTGGTTACTCCAGTTATGGCTAAATGCCATGTTCGAACCTTCACTATCAACTGCCAATACTATTGCTGAACAAGACC